CTAATTGATAATTTAGATAACATTTCAGGCCTAAAGAAAGACTTGTAATAAGCAGATTTTGCTCTTGCATAATGCATGTTTAATGTTATCATATTCTGTAAGTTTCGTGGATATCGGTTATTGTGGTCTGCAGTCGTGCCACACAAAATGTGTGGTAACCTGATATCTCGGAAACTGCTAACCGGAAGTGGCCGAAACTTTGCCTACTCAGGGATATTTTTAATGTAATTATAATCTGCAAGTTTCATTCAAATCGGTTGGTAATTGCGGTCTGTAGCCGTGTCACGTTAAATGTGTGGTAACCCCATATCTCGGAAACTGCTACCCGGAAGTGGTCGAAAATTTGCTTACTCTGAGATATTATCAATGTTATCATAATCTGTAAGTCTCATTAAAATCGGGTAACAATTGCGGTCTGTAGTCGTATTGCTTACATGTGGCAAATAGCCACGCCTATAATTTAAGTGCACTTAAAAATAAGGGGAGATAAAACCTATTTGGCGGACCAGGTTCAGACCACAGTTAATGATTCTTATTATAATATAATTCAAGTCTCAAAACATCATATTAAAGTAGAAAAATGGTATACAATATACAGGACAGCCCAATCCTAATTATAAATTATAAAATTTTACTATGGGTCATCTGCTCGGTATATCAATCGATCAGTAGAAAGGTTATTTATGGATCTATTACAACAAATACTTATTGAAAGGATAAATAACTTTAATTCCAATCACACAACACAACTCCACGAACAGCTTTAATAGACAGTATATTAGTAAAAAAAACACCCTAATTATTCCGACCTATTGTTTAAAACTAATACAAATTAGCCTGCAAGTCTTATCTGCTAGGCATTTAGACTGAATTCAATTATTGAACTAGAACAAACCACATAAGAGTAAATCTGGAAAAGATTGTAGGTGAAATAACAAAATAATTATCAATTTGCATTTGATAAATTTACAGTATAAATATCACTGATGATCAATATCAATTGGTTAATTCAGAAAAGAGATTGTGGAATACAAATGCAGATTTCCAGATGGAATGAACACAATCAGTCTTATAAAGTGATGATTATAATAATAATAATAATAGGTAAAGTTGTGAATGCACCATTATAGAAACAAAGCGATTGTATATGTATATAATAAAATTTAAAGCATAAAAGATTTAATACAATATTGATATACATGTGTAGATATATCAATAAAAAACAGTTCTAGGTAAATTTGTTCTACTTAATTGCTAACTCATACAGCCAGCTGTAATACTTCTTGAACAATCTGAATTTGTTGACCAATTTCCATAGTAACTAAAATAAAAATAGTAACAATGTTTTGTGTTTTTTGACACAGAGGTAGGGGCTCCTCTGTGTGTGTGTGTGGGGGGGGGGGATGTTGGAAAGATTTTTAATTCAACAATTTTATAAACGGAAAGTCAAACAATATATAGCAATAAATATCCTCAGTCTTTTTTTTTTAACTTTTAGATCAAAAATAGAATTTTAATATTATAATAAACATACATCATGTATAATTTTAACATCAGGTTTATAATTATTTCAAACTAATCAAAAATAGAATTTTAATATATAATAAACATGTATCATGCATAAATAATATTTTGTCCTCCACCTTTCGAAGAAAGCAGGGGACTAATAAAGTGGGTCTGTCTGTCACACTTTTTGGTTGTAGGTGTTTATTAGGTGAATGAATCAGGGATGCTATTTTGCCCATGAATATGCCCAATCGGACATCAAGATATGTTGAATAATATTCAATTTTCCAAATGTGATTGGTCAAGACTTTGCAACACAATTACTTGCCTTCTAATTGAGGTAGAATGTTCAAACTTGGTTTAGGTGTCTATTAGGTGAATGCCTCGACAGTGTTCGATCATGCTCATTTTCCACTAAGGCTAAGCAGAGATAAGCAATTTGACTGGTTGAGACTTTGGAATACGATAACTTTGGTTCTAATTGGGTGAGAGCGATGTATTATATCAATACATTGACTAAGTTCGATGATGAGAATTTTCTGCTTAGACTAAGTAGCGTTACAACTCTGCTTTTAAATGACGTATAGATTATCATTATGCGAATGTCTTGACTGAGTTCAGTGATTAATATATCCCACTGAAGCTAAGCAGAGCTAAGCAATTTCATTGGTCAATGCTTTGGGACAAGATAACTTGGATTCTAACTGATGGCTAGTGATGAAACTTAGTGTAAAGTTTCACTACCAAGTACTTCAAAACGTTTGCTGAGTTTGATTGTGAACATTTTATGATTAGAATAAATATAGCATCTATAAATAATCATTTTAATTGCTTGATACTTTTGAAAATATAAATGTGCAATTAATTCATATGTGTCATCTATTTATTTTGGGATTTCGGTGGGGGACATCAGCCTCACTGTTGGTTGTTAACATTATAACTGTGTCAAATTCACCATTATTAAACTGACTTATAAAAAAACCCTGATTCAATCAACTATTGCCAAAAAAGAATAATTTTAAAAAAAAACTGGTTAGCTACATATAGTACAGACTATTATGTAGTTTGTGTCATGATGTAACAAAATATTGTAATGTAAACTGTCATTTTGTTGAACGCCTTGAGAACACAAGACATCATAAAGAAAGTATCAGAAATATATCAACATCCTTTTCCATGTCAATGGAATCAGCTGGCTTAACAGCATAACAACTAAAGTCTAACCAAATACAGAACACATATATGTACTAGCAAATTATATATATAGCACATATCCATAAATTTTACAAAGCTTATATTACATACATAAATAAATGCACACACTAATGCCCATATCTAAATGATAATATATAGTTGAACCTTGTCCATTAATGGAATTAAACACAGATTGAGGCTTATTAGGCTCCCTATACTTCTACCAGCAGCTTAAAGATGGGTTCCCAGAAAAGTATTTATCGGGTGGTCATTTCCTATAAAAGTATGGTAATTTTGGTATATATGGAAAGTAGGGATATCCAACCTTACTAGAAAAATACTGGATTCCCCGAAAAACACTCATGGACTGTATACAGGACAAAAATGTAAGGGTTCCCCTAATCAACAGCCCGATGATTAGGAATTTCTGCACGCGTGATGTCAAAGATCACACACGAACATTGAGCGATTGATGTACAAGTTGATAAACATTATGAAGAGTTAGACGTACAACACTTTCTGAGATAAAAATGACGAAAAAAGACGCGGGTAGTGGATAATCCGAGAATTTAATTAGGATTCGATATTTGTAATAAATAGTATGCGATTAAAGACAACATCGTCTTATGTATGCAATGAATTCTCCTCTGAGTTCTAAGAGAGGTAAGTCACGTGACGTAAACATGACCTGGTTTGATCAAATTTTTATAGCAGGACATTCCTTTGCAATTACAATGTTTGAGAAGGATTTGAAGCAAAATTATGACAAATTAATTGGTTTGAATATGTTTTTAGTCCATATATACCATTAAATCACCCAGTTTGTATGCGGGAACCCATCTTTAATCTCACAAAGTCTATTATATTATTTCAATGTTCACTGTACAAACTGCATATATCAGCAGTTCAAAAACACAGATTTTATTTTTACTACACATATTTGCAATTTCCATTGCTCCACAATATCATTGCCACAGTGTTAAAATACAGAATACACTTTTTAATAATACTAAATACAGTATAATAGTTATTTTGCACATTACACTTCTCTATTCTGCATTTTGCATAATAGACAAATGCATAATAGAACATATACCTTATTATATTGGATCTACGACGAAGCTCATTTGCCGATGGAAAAAAGGCTGGACTACGATGGTAATAAAATAAAATAAAACCAAGTACGAACAATCCAAACCATTAGACAAAATTCGAAGTCCTAAAAAATATAGAGAGAGAGGAATGGGGTTTAACGTCCACTTAACAAAACTAGGTCATTTCCAGACTAACACATGGTTCAATTTTATTTCAATAAGTCGCTTGCGCGTAGGGTTCTTTAGCAGTGGGAAGAGGACCCGGAGAAAACCCACGAGCCTGAACAGGCGACCCTACTCCTTGTCACGTACAACCAGGGAATCGAAACCACGCCAGTTGACTCAATGACAGACCTTATGATATAGCGCGAATGTGCTAATTATACGGCCATCCAACTCCCCTGGAAATTAATAATTTACGCGATCAATCTACAAGGTCTAGGTAAATGGAAGGGTCAGAGATCTAGCTGACATACAATAAGTCACCATACAATAAATCGACTTTCATGCAATAAGGAATTAGCTGGATGACCATGACTTCTGTGAAATCATGCACACGGTATGGCTAATCTGAGCCTTCAATAAGCCCCATATTTTTACTTCATAACCTACCACCATCCCTTTTACTTCAACTTTAATCTTTTTTTTCAAAGTAGGGAGCCATGGCAGCTAAATGGGTAAGACACTGGCTTGCTAACCTGGAGGTCGATTGGCCAAAAAAGTTCATCAGGATTTTGCAACATGGTGCGGGAAGGAGGGTCTGACCAAAAAAAACCCACCAAGGTCCTGTGTATACATCAACGTGCATGTAAAAGACCCTTGACAGTTGGAATTCGCTGTAAGAGTAGGCCATAGTGCTGCTGCTCGGGCAAAATTTCCCTCATAGCATACTGTATGGCCTATGCTCATCTTCATTAGCCCAGTCAGAGTAGAACAGTAGGACGTTAAACCCCATTTCATTTCATTTATCGCTTTCCCAAGGTCCGTAAATATGAGTTCCGCCTCCTTCTACAGACTTTGACCTTGTAGATTGATCGAGTAAATTATTAATTTCCGCTCTAGTCGTAGATGGCACATAAGGTATATGTCTAATATGCTAAGTTCTATTATGCATTTGTCTATTATGCAAAATGCAGAATGGAGAAGTGTAATGTATAAAATAACTATTATACTGTATTTAGTATTATTAAAAAGTGTATTCTGTATTTTAACACTGTGACATTGGTATTGTGGTGCAATGGAAATTGCAAATTGTAAAACTAAAATAAGTCTAAGTATTTTGAACTGCTGACATGTGCATTTTGCACCGTGAACATTGAAATGATATTGGCAATCTTATTCTTCCATAATGTTGTGCATCACATTCATAAACTGAAAATTGGTTCATTTTGGTTCATAATGAGGTATACCTAATCTTTGAGGTATAAATGAAGGAAAATAATCTAGTGAAGATAATTGCTACACTAAGAACAAGAGGTCGCAATCACCAGTCAGATGCCTATTCTCAGCGTGGCACACTTCAGTGTGCTGCAGGGTTTCCACACGTTTATTTCCAATTTTCTATGGATTTTAAGCAAAGAGATGAACACACTACTTGTTAGCTAAAGCTGGACGAATATACATATTGAGAAGACTTTTGAAATTTACTTGAGGAAGAAGAAGACTAAAAAATTTACTTTTGAACAAATTGAAATCTCAAAATTTCCGTTGTTATTCGGGATTTCCGTGTGTGTGGAATCGCTGTTGTGCCTGGGCTGAATTTTCCCAGAAAAATGTTTCCCATAAAATCAGTATGGATATTTTCTGGAAAATGTATTCCAGTCATTGATAATAAAATCAGTAATATCATCATTTTGTTCTTCTTATTCAAGAGTCCGTTATAATAATGGACTTTTACATTGATTTGTTGATTAGGGACCGATGAAAATCGTCTGTTATACAGTATCCGCTATATAAAAGACTTTGAAAATAAGAAATTTCTATTAAAAAAATCGGGACCAATCTGTTGTGTCCGTTATAAGCGATAGTCTGTTGTATGCGCGTCCGTCATATGCGGAGTCTACTGTATTGGTAAGATTGTTTTTCAACTATAAACATGGGTGAGGTGTAGGATAATAACAATTACGTCTGAGTTTTGATATAATAATCATGACCAAAAGACATGAACACAATCAATGAACAAATCAAAAAAGAAAGTAGATTGGTGAACTGGTATCAAAATAAAAGAAAACATCAATCAACAGCTGTATATATTAAAACAAAGTGATAAGTATATACACAATAAAATACCCTCTTTCTTTCCCAAAAAATTTGTAAATTAGCTCTGAATAAAATGATTGTCTGCCTTAGTGTATTGTGGAATGAAGAGCAGTTATTATAGTTGATTTCACACAGGGTTCCCGCGGCTTCGTCAAACATTTTTTCAAGGATATTCAAGGATAAATATATGTCAAATTCAAGGATTTTCAAGGACATTTTTTAGCCTAAAGTTACAATTTTTCATCTTAAAAATAACCAAAACTATCGTTATAATCTCATATTTAAAAGGAATTGAAGACATTTGAAACAAAATTACGGATCTCAACTGAAATTCAAGGATATTTTCCTATTTCCGCAAAATTCAAGGATATTCAAGACCTTGGAAATGAAATTTTAAATTTAAGGATATTAAAGGATTTTCAAGGATCGCGGGAACCCTGTTACATTTAGGAAGTGATCTCTTAAACCAACAACAGTTTTTACAATAATTAGAGAAAATTATAATCAAACACTAACACACAGACATAATTTGCACTCTAATGTGTACATGTAATGAGATCATATTCATTGTCATGAATAAAGATAATACATTAAAGTTACAATATTTTCACATGAACCGAATAATTATTCCAACTGCCGAAATCGAATACAAAGATACTGCCGTAATTGAATACAAAGGAACTTATTTACCTTCAAATATACAAAAAGGCAAAAATAATGAGAGAACACAATTAAAGTATGTCTTCACTGTACATATTTTGGTGAAGGAAGGATTGTAGGAATTCTATCCTACAACAAAAAGCTTCCTTGTGTATTTTGTGACAAAGTAAATCACTAATTTTGTGTATACTCAATCCATGTTCACTTCAATAATTTCACAAATAATAAAGACATTACAATTTAATATATAAATAAAACTGCTACAATAGTTTTTAAATTTAAACTTGTAATATACATGTAAATGTGGGGAGTATACGATCTTCATAATATCATCAATTAATGTATGGAAATGTTTATGTAAGCCCTATATTTAACATTAAGGAGAGAAAAATTATCATCCAATGCAGGCAAGATTTGCTTTCTAGGAGACCTATTACTATTAAACAATGTTGGCCAATGGCACAAAAATTTCTTACAATATTACTGTAAAATATATAAAATCATGGATCATCTCTTTAGATCATGGAATAATATTGACTACTGATATTATATACACCTTAAAATTCCAGGCTGTTAATTACATCAGACACAACTGTCAATATTAAATTACTACTCTCTATATAATTTTCAACAATAACCAGCAGTTACCACGCAAGATACACCCACTTTTTGCAAGAGATGGAAAGAGAACAAGCTAAAAAAAAAAAGAAGATTTTTCGTACAATCAGGGGCCATAATCAAGTAATTTATGGTCTGAAATGCGAGACTATTGAAAAGAACTGAGATCTTTGGGATATAAACATATATTTGAGTTTCATCAACATCTGACAAAAATTGTGACATCTAGAGGGTCCACAACCTTTGTATTACATACTTTTACACTATATGAGTACAAGGAGCAGCCATGTTGTCTGGCAGTTTGGTTTCGATTTTTCTCGAAATTCGAACTCATCCTTCATTATTGTATAAACTTCAGTGTGGTGTAACGGTAATAAATTTAAACGATTTTTAAAATCAGATAAAAATTGTGATTTCTAGAGGGTCCACAAGCTAAAAATACGATTTTTCGTAAAATCAGGGGCTTAATCCATGAAGTTACTGTCCGATACATGCCAATATCGAAAGGAACCAAGATCTTTTGGAGATAAACCTATATTTCAAGTTTCTTCAAAATCAGATAAAAATTGTGACCTGTACAGTGTCTACAAACAAATTGTGGACGGGCAGGGGTGATGACATATGTCCACATGAAAATGTGGGAGTATAAAAACATTAAATAGATAAACAATAAAATAACTGATCAGACTACATTATAATATAATAACAAGTAAATCATTATTACTAATGTATTTTGACAGAATAAATGTAGGTTATCAGGATTAAGAATAACCTGTAGATGGATATAACTGGTGCATCTGTTTGGTACTACAACCAGATAACATTATAATGCAAAATACATAGTGCCAAGTAAGATATTATTACCAAATAAATGGAGGTTTGGCAATCCAACCAAAGTAAAATAATATTTGGGGCAATAAGGTGGTAAAAGATATACCTGTATAGCAGCCTAAAATAACTGAACAATATACAGTGCCAATATACAATGGGTTCCACGTTGACCGTATATGCCGGTCGAGACCTAGGGCTATGGAAAATGACCGAAAATAGTTCTGACCCATAGGTTATTTTGCACGCCGGAAAAATAGCGTATTTTTGAAAAAAGACAATTTTCAAACATGGATATGATCGCCCTCCGCTATGTAACTATAAAATTTACAGCGTTTATAGAATAATGCACCTGTATTGAAGAAACGTAATCTCATGATTGGTGTTAAAGAGTTGTATACATAGTTGTCAATAGATTATACCGAGTGTTTATCTAGAATGTCTGGTAGTAGAACAATAAAAGTTAATTGTTAGATGGGAATCTTATCAATGACATGAATAGGTTTTTGAACACTCACCTATTGTCAACGTGTCATTAAGAATTTCCTATAACAAAGCCGCTTTACCTCTATTACGGTCACACATGGTGTAAATAAGATAATTATGATCTTCAAAAAAAGGCAATCAGATATGAAGTACTGCTCTTCGAATCAAACAAACTGTCGTATTAAATAAAAGCAGCATAGAAATTACGTAAATCCTCAACATGTTGTGAGGAAAATGCATTCAAAGTTATTTTTACCACGGTATTACGATCTAGTGACGATCATAGAAATAAAAGCTAGAGATTAGTAAACTTGTATACCGAAAAAATTAAGAATATTCCGTATTCCAGTGCTATTTTATAGCAATATTGATAATTCATGTGTCACTAAAATATTGTGCATATTTTTATTCTTATTATGCACGACTATATTCTACTTCTAGGGGGCACTAGTGTCCCTAGCTGTGAAATTAGTCTGATATTAGGTATTAAGTTATTCATTATTAGGCTTTACATCACAATAATGTGGCCTGTAATGCCATAACATCTGTAAGAGATGGTCTAAAATCGATAAATGTGAGAAATATGCCTTGGATAATTATATATTTATCTTCATTTCGAAGTTATTGGATTACAACTAAAAATTATCCAGGTCAGCGTGTTTTCTATAGAGCATGTGGTAATACGTATGAGCTACTGGAATGATTTTTCTACGGCCAATTCAGCTCTTTATTTGTCTTTAACCAAGTAAGAAAAAGCTACTTAAATACGATTTCATTCATGAATAATTAAAATAATTATTATAAGCTCTACTATTATTTCATTTCATTGTGAAATACATAAATTTTTGTGTACACCATTCTGACAAAATGGTATAGACACATGAATTCACGATATGTTACCATAAATAAAACACATGAAATATGAATTTAATTTGCAAAGGTTTCGCGGGTTATCAAATATTACCAAGTCTGAAAATTTTAAAGTGGAAGCCCTATAATATACAAACACTTTTCAATATTTTCTTAGGAATATACAGGTGACCTATATCTGTACTTTTTCCACAATTATAGTAAGAACAATGGAGAAATTGACACCTGATGCAATGCCTAAAACTAGGAACAATGCCATCATCATACCAGCTGTACCAGCATATGCTGGAGATACTTGTCTGAAATAAAATAAAATTGTGTAAAAATCCTAAAATAGTTATCAGATAAATACTTGCACTTAAACATACATTATATAAGAGCTAAATCTGCCTATTGCAGCTCTTTCTTTAGGCCTGAAATGTTATCTAAATTATTAATTAGACATTAATTAGCTTATCCAGACCGTAATCAACTCCCAATAAACATCGCTAGCGAGCGATATTTATTAGATTAGGATTCCATTTGCTGCTCAACTTTCATTCATGATTTAATCATGAAATGGATAATCGAGACTATGTTTTTTATCGTACCAACTTTAGTAATGATGATAGAGGCTAGGCCAAAATTTCAATCGCTAAATTCTCGGTTCAGAATGGATCAAATTCCCTTTACATTGTCTAGCTTTTAACTATTATAGTGAGAACTGCCAACTCTTTATCTAATCTCCCATAATGTATCTTTAATCAAGATATTTTATCAACACAGCTTAAAGAGCTAAATCTGTCTATTGCTGGTCTTTCTTTTGGCTTCACATGTAATATAAAATATTATTTAAACATCTGAAGAGCCCCGAGGAAGAACGATTTAAGACACTTTTTCAACGAACCCCAGTTTTATCAACACAGCTTAAAGAGCTAAATCTGTCTATTGCTGGTCTTTCTTTTGGCTTCACATGTAATATAAAATATTATTTAAACATCTGAAGAGCCCCGAGGAAGAACGATTTAAGACACTTTTTCAATGAACCCCAGTTTTATCAACACAGCTTAAAGAGCTAAATCTGTCTATTGCTGGTCTTTCTTTTGGCTTCACATGTAATATAAAATATTATTTAAACATTTGAAGAGCCCCGAGGAAGAACGATTTAAGACACTTTTTCAACGAACCCCAGTTAATGGTGCCATCTGGTAGCAAATTGTATAAGCTTTCTGTGGAACAATCTATTCAGGTAAAAACGATCGGAGTCACATCGAACCATGGCTTTCCGGACAAATATAAGTCCATTGTATCACCTTGTTCCAAAACAAAATCGCATAGCAACCACGCCATTTATTTGCTATTTTGTCGTTTAATATTTCTTTCTATAATTTTTAGGGGTGCTGAAGACGAAAATCGTAGTAAAAGGAAGGCAGTTTTGGTCCGATTTTCACGAAATTCGAACTCAGCCATCATTACAGTTTAATGGTGATATATTCAAACGTTTTTTATTACATCGGATAAAAATTGTTAGCTCTATAGGGACCACAAGCTAAAAATCGAGGGCCATAATTCAGGAAGTTACGAAAAAAATTGTTATATTTTAAGTTTCATAAAAAATTTGACCAAAGTGTTGAAAAATATGACATTGACAAGCTTACAAAATAAAATGTTCCTGAAGCAGCGACTGCGAGTTTTACAACATCTGGACGTTGCTAGATTACTTTGCAATTCTGTAACTTATAGCTACGTTATCTGCAGACATGTGAACAGTAGCGTCCAATCAGAAGTTGTAATACTAACATACTCAAATCAAATACAGTGACCTTCATGGAACCTTGAACTTTGCAACTCGATTATCAAAGGTAGCCATTTTAGCTGGAAAGAGCGAGACCTGGTATTCGCGATGTACGAGGAATGATAGGCTCTCGTGCTAGGTGAATACCCAATATAAATTAGTGCCAAAATATGCAAGGCATTATGTGAAGGCCTTAATAAAATATATGGAGTAAAGCGAGATCAAGCCTTCTGTTGAAGATGACTAAAAATAATGACTTGGAAAAGAAATGTCTGTATGCAATTTATTTTTTTGTTATCTCTGACTATGTCATGGAGTAATATCACCTCACTAAGTTACTACATATCCACAGTCTAGAATCTCTGGGATATGAGCAAGGGTTATTTACAAAAGGTGTTTCCCATTGAAGATCCCCCCATTGAGTCCATAGGAAATCTGCTTTAAGCACTGATGGACTGCCACAATTTTAAACAATTTCATGAAAAAAACACCTCTTCAAAATAACTTTGTTATAGACAGAAATAAATTTGTTTCAAACTTACTTTGGGGCATACATCATGACCAGGCTGCTGAAATAGCCACTTGTAAAAGCCATAAGAGCAGCTCCTACAATATACGCATAATCATTGGGTATATAAACTGGTAACAACCTCTGACCAGGCTGATAGTTACACAGAAGAAAGAATGGAATAAGTATTAAACCCCTTAACAGTACAGGAATCCACACAAATCTTGGTCCCGGCTGAAAAATACATAAAATAGAAATTGTATGCATTTAACAGTTACAAAAACATTACTCAGTCCCACATAAGTAATTTAATATATATGCACAAATGGCATTGAACTTCAGTGAATAAGAAGTACAGTTCAATGATCAACCGATCAGATTGAAGAAAGCTGATACAACAGGCACATAGCATTAATATTACCGTAAACACTGTTATAGAATAAACCTCAAATTTTGTGAATATTTGCACATTAGATATAAACTAAGGTGAGTGACAGTGATAATATACATATATCAAAATTTATATTAATCCATGGTCAAGAAATCATGTCTTATACAATGGACTATGAAACTGCAAATAAACAGATGGCATGGTGGTAATCATTTACGTGTGGATGGCTCGGAAATTGGAACTTAGTTGAGTGAGTGTTACAATGAAGGTGTGTTCTAAGTTTTATCAAAACCCATTCACTAGAAATAAAGTTATTGTGCTCAAAGAGTGTGACCAAAGGACAATCAATTCATGTTTTAACATTTAATTTCCATGCAAGATATGCCTACATTTTGCAAGAAATATCTAAAAATAAAAAAATGCGATTTTTTGTAGAATCACAGACCATAATCCAGAAAGTTATGGTCTGAAATGCACAAATATCAAAAAGGACTGAGATCTGTGGGATATAAAGATATATTGCAAATCTCATCAAGATCAGATAAAAATTCTGACCTCTATATTACATACTTTTACACTATTTGCGTACAAGGAGCAAACATTTTGTCCAGCAGTTTCGGTCTGATTTTCACCAAATTTGAACTCAACTGTCATTAGGTTGTAACACTGATATGTTTAAACTTTTTTTAAAATTGAATGAAAATTGTGACCTCTTGAAGATCCACAAGCTAACCAGCGCTTGCCAGGCAAGATACGCCCACATTTTGAAAAAGATGGATAGAGAACAAGCTAAAAACAAAAGCGATTTTTCGTACAATCAGGGAACATAATCCAGGATGTTATGGTCCGATATGAGATAAATATTACCCTAATCTATCCTAAATTGATTTTACCTATAACACAATGGTTTAGCCCATATCAGTCCTGCGACTGATATGACAAAATTAAGAAAACAAGTCGTAAGTTGGATGTGCATTACATTTTAGCAACCCCATTTTTCACAAACTAGAATTCATTTTATGAAATGTTGTCAAACGATTCGGACAACAAACTGACCCGCGCAAGTCAATTTGTAGAAAATATGGTTGAAAAGGAAAACATAGATTCCGACAAAGAATTATTTAAAGCTAGTCCAAGTGCAGAATTTATGCAGAAAATATTTAACAAGGATTTAATGTACTCGGATATTTCGGATTGTGAGATACAAATGATAAATAAACGCTTTTCAATTTCGAGTGACAAGACATCAGTGAATGTGCCAACAATGCCGTGCCCATAAATCAGTGGGCTGTCGCTGTGAATTTTTTTAACAGTTGGTCAGTGTGGCGGAATAATAAACATGATAGTGAGCAAAAAATCCTGTGTGCGCTGGAAGTTGAGTATATAAGATCTTATTTTTTTGGGATGTCTAGATTCGTCTTGGAAGTAAGCAAAATAAAATGATGAATATTACCCACTGAATTCCATATTTAGTTTTGGTAAAAGTTTCACATTTACGGATTGTGAATAAAACTGATGTGAATATACTACACAATCCAGAATTTGAGTTTCAGACAATCAGGCAAAGTTCGTAGTCTGAATCGTTTGACAACAATGTACAAACACGTTAATAAAATGTTAAAAGAAAGAATTTGGGTCCTTTTTCATTGCAGAGTCCGTAAAGCTGTTGTGACGTCATCAGAGGGTAATATCTGATATTGTCCCTAGGGTCGATATCAGATATCACCCTTTGATGACGTCACAACAGGTGGATACGTTTCATAACATGCATGGGAGATCAAATGAAATAACATCCCAAGGCGTGTAAGCGCAAATATCAAAAGGAATTGAAAATGAAATCTCTGGAATATAAATATATATTTTAAGTTTCTTCAAAATTGGATAAAAGTTGTGACCTCTAGAGTGTCCACAACCTTTATATTAATACTTTTACACAATTTGTGTACTAAGAGCAGCCATTTTGCCAGGCAGTCTTGTTTCGATTTTCCCGAAATTCAAATTCAACCTACATTATGGTGGAATAGTGATATATTTAAACGTTTTTTAACATCGGATAAAAATTGTGACCTCTAGAGGGATCACAAGCAATGATCCGATATGCGCTTATATATCGAAAGGAACCAAGATCTAATTTCATCAAAATCCGATGAAAATTGTGACCTCTATAGTGTCCACAAGCTAAAAACATGATGTTTCGTACAATCAGGGACCATAATCCATATCGAAAGGAACCAATATCTTTGGGAGATAAACTTATATTGCAAGTTTAATCAAAATCGGATAAAAATTGTGACCTTTCAGTAGCCAGATTACTCATCACGGCAAAGAAATTAAAGCTAAAATCCATGAAGTTACGATCCGATACATGCCAATATCAAAAGGAACCAAGATCTTTGAGAGATAAACCTATACTTCAAGTTTCGTCAAAAAGCAGATAAAAATTGTGACCTGTAGAGTGTCCACAAACAAATTGTGGATAGACAGGGGCGACGACAATATACGTGCACATGAAAATGTGGGCATAGAAAAATTACTTACAACTCGAACACATTCAGTAGCCAGATTACCCATCATGGCAAAGAAATTAAAGTTGAGAAAACAGAAGATAGGAGCCCAATACACATCTGAAAATTTAATAAAATCTTGTAGATGGAATTTTTTCAAAATAAGACTATGAAAGTTGAAACAGATCATAGTTTTTATTTAAAAATTTGTTTCACAGTAGCAGAGGTGGGATCTCGAGTCTGACTTAAGTTGCATCAGTGACCCGTCTTATGACTTGGCTTGAAATATTTATTGCGACTTGAGACTGCACTTGAAAAAGCTTAAGGGAATACTCGATTGAACGTTCCAGAATTAAATTCTCTCAATTCCAAAAATTGTGTCAATCGAGTGAAAAGGAGAATTTCGGAGTACAACGCATGTGCCGACTGCATAACAAAATATCTCAACCATTCATTAAAGCTGAAAAATATTTGTTACCTAAAATATGTCACTATTCTACTCACACCACCTAAGATGTCGTGACTGGCAGAACTGTGACAGGGGCAGGGCTGAATTCCATATCCCTTGATTGCAATTCAGTCAATTCAGGACGTTTTAGACTGACAATCGAGCACCCTCTATGACTCGAGTCGTTGCAAGGGGGCATAACTCTCACTTATACACCATGAATTGATGACTCATAATGACCTGGCGATTTGACTGCAACTTAAGGTCCTGCTACTTGTTCCCATCTCTGAACGGTAGTTATGTGAAGGCCTTCTTTTAACTCTGTGCAAGATTACTGACCTTTAAGTTCAAGTTCAGTATAGGTCTACATGTGATGTTACGGCATCTATAACATGTCCATTGTTTACATCATACATAGTAACACTCACTGGTCCGGGCAGAATTGGTGCCTTTTACTCACTTTACGCCTTCACATACTATTTTACATGCCCATTTTCATTAAAAAGGGAAGTATTTTTTATTCCAACAATTTTATTTTTTTTCTTCATAATTTCAAAAATAGTTTAAGAATTTAATTTGCAAAAAAAGTTAATATCAGGAGGTAATTAACTTGCCCTGAAAACATCCCTCTTAGTGATAGTAGCGACTAAGCATTTATTTACTGCTGGTCAATCTGTTTATTCAATAGATACTGAACTTTATAAATCTGCTTAATTAATGGTTACTAAAAACAAATGGTTTGTAAACCAATTGCTCCTCATTTAATTTAAATAGGAATCTTTAAAATAGTTGAATGGTTTACAATTTTTAAATAGTAGTTATTAATTATTATGAGTATTACATTCAGAACCTAGCACTAATTCCTCAATTTTGCATTGAAATTCATTTTCAGTGATAAGTACCCATAATTACAATGTATGCAAATAAATCAATAATTAATACCATATTGATGTACATATGTAGACATTTGTTTTATATATAAAATTAGGCATACCACTGATAGGGAAGTTAATTCTCTTGATATCACTCTGTACTGCTGGGAACAGAGAGAGTGTTATGAAAAACACAAACCATACACAAAACACCATAACCCAAATCTATAAAAAATTTTTTTTAATTCAATATAGATGTACAAAATACAGGAATGGCAGTAGTTTTAATAGTCGTGCAATGAAAATCATCAAGGACACAACAGAAATGTTCATTAATTAAGTAGACACTATGAACTATCCTAAGCTTTTTCGACAGTACTCTATATACCCAAACAGGGCCGACAAAGATCAAGTGGAAAGTTATTTCATTCTTGAACACTTAATCCAAGTATAAATACTCCAAATTATATATTTAAATTACTTCAATTAATATTCTGTATGAGTTTATTGAACAATCCCAACGAGTCATCACAAGAAATTATGCTGGACTCACTCATTAAATTAGGCCCGTAAAATTAAAATAAAAGATAGCTAGCCAGGCAACGAAACATACGCCCACAGCAGCTAAATCGTCCGAGCGGATTGACAAGGGTTGAGGCATATTTATTCTTTTGTAGGTAATTGGGGGCATTTACAAGACAATTTCATACAGATCAGATTACAATTATTGTCGTTTGAGAGTTCACAAGGTTCTACAAACTGAAACAAGGGCCTTAACTCTGGAAGTAATTTACAGAAAATTTTGAAATTTAACAGGCTTTTTCGTTTTACTTATTTAAAGGAGCTAAATCGCTAATATTTTGGACCTAGAAATTGACCCAAATTGGTCGAAACGCATATAATAATGTAATCTGATTGTATATAAATAAACTGATTTGCATTCAATTGTTTCCTTTTTGACTCTAATTTTAAATCAGTTATGTCCAGCGAAATACAGCATGTGTCTCAACCCTATCCTATAGCAATTTCTAGCGTCTGGTTATTCCAGTCTATTAAGCAGGCTCGTTCTTTCTGGTCACTTGTTGCAAATGACGCTAAAACGCACTATGGTACACGATTCGTGTACCAATGGTAAAATGTTTATTTTGTCTTAAATATTGGATATCAGAAGCCTACCTTTTCCTGGTAAGATCACAACATCAATGTTGATTTGAATTGACAAATAATTCGTATTTTCAACATGTAAGATTTGGGATGATATTGAGTTAGAGACTTAGCTACTTTAAATAATGCATGTAATTTTCATATAGATCGGCAGATATCTTTAGATGTTAGAGCGTTCACACGGTGCAACAAAGTGAAACAAGGGCCATAACTCTTAGAAGTAATTAAGGGAAATTGCTGAACTTCAAAAGGCTTCTTCGTTTCACTAATTCAAATAATGCATATAAATTTCACAAAGATCGGATGATAACTTTTGGCGTTAGAGCGTTCACAAGGTCCAACAAAGTGAAACAAGGGTCATAACTCTAGACCTAATAAACAGAAATTATTGAAATTAAATAGGCTTCTTATGGCGTTCACAAGAAATTGTGGATGATGGACGAATGGAAGGGGGCAACGGCAATATACGTCCACATTTCCATGTGGGCGTTTAAAAAGAATGTCATCTGTTCCAACCTACCTGTTTAAAAACAAACCAATACCGCTTCAATCCTGTTAAGCAAGTTTTATTTCCTTGGTTCTTTACAGCCAGTTGTTTCAATTCAACAATTTTAAGGAAATGTCGATAAAATTTCTAAAATCAACAATAATAGTTCTTTAATTTTAATTTTTCGACTAATAATAAGACAGTGTGAATTTAAATCGTGTTTCGTTATTCTTTATTGGCGGATAACAAATCATGAAACAGAAAGTGTTTTGTTATTCGGGATTAAAATTTTGAATAACGAGACAGAATGTGTTATGTTATTCACATAAAATTATTATTTTTTCTTAAAAATTTTGTATCTTTATATATATAGTCCACTTTTTTTAAATTTAATTATAAGATGGATGCCTAAGCAGTAAAATAAATGATTAAATCAAGTAATGGATAATCGAGACTGTGTTGATTTGAAGATATTAAGCCCACAACCTTCGTATTACACACTTCTACACTATTTGTGTACAAGGGGCGGCCATTTTGTTCGTCAGTTTTGGCCCGATTTTCACGAAATTAGAACTCAACAAACATTGAGGTGTAATAATGATATATTCGAATGTTTTATTTAAATTGGATAATAATTGTGACCTCTAGAGGGACCACAAGTTAAAAATGCGATTTTTTGTACAATCAAGGGCCATAATTCAGAAAGGTACGATCCGATATGCGCGAATATTGAAAGGAACCAAAATCTTTGGGACATAAACACGCATTCCAAGTTTCATCAAAATCAGATAAAAATTGTGATCTCTAGAGAGTCCACAACCTTGATATACCATATTTTTACACTATTTGCGTACAAGGGGTGTCCATTTTATCTGGCAGTTTTGGTCCAATTTTCACGAAATTTGAACTCAACCATCATTAGGGTGTAACGGTGATATACTAAAACGTTTTTTTAAATCGGATAAATGTTAACTATGTCGTCTGCTAGTGGTGTGTGAGTGAGGTGTATAGTGAGAGTGAGTGCATGTCAATCCAGGTGTGTGCTGTGAATACACAGGTCAGGTGAGGAGTGAAGCATGATGAGCAGTGTGTGTATAGGAGTGAAGGTGATATGAAGGTGGACTAAAGTTGATACCGATGATTGAATAAAGAATAGTATAAATCTAATTAACACTAAAAACATGATTTTTCGTAAAATCAGGGGCCATAATTCAGGAAGTTACGATCCAATATGTGCGAATATCAACAGGAACCAAGATCTTTGGGTTATACACATGAATTTCAAGTTTCAACAAAATCACATGATTTATCGTACAATCAGGGGCCATAATCCATGAAGTTATGGTCCGATACATGCCAATATCGAAAGCAACCGAGATCTTTTGGAGATTAACCTATATTTCAAGTTTCGTCAAAATCAAGTAAAAATTGTGACCTGTAGATTGTCCACAAACAAATTGTGAACGAACAGGGGTGACGACAATATATGTATAAAAATAGTAATAAAACCACGCGATATCGTTCAATATTTTCGAATTTAATGAAAAAAAGATGAAATACGGTACTTTGGAGTTTTTGTTTAATATCAGAAAATATCAGCTTTTCCGTCTTTTTGAATGCCGAATTCCACAATAGTATCACCCCTATAATATATATTGAAATGTAGAGAAACTTACAGTAAGTGGTAGAACAAAGTAAGCATCAAAAGCCAAGAGAAGAACTACAATGGCAGCCACAAAGTAGTAAATGGCTGCTGTTCTTGTGTTTGGTGAAACTGCAACAAAGAAATTATGTACAATGGTTTGAAAATGCCCAATAAGTTTTAACACATTTAATTGACTACTTGTAAGTACTGTACAAAATGATTGGACAAAAAGTTAAATGAAGATTCATGACCTCGAAGGTTTCCAACCTCATTGATTTAGGTCAAACTTCAAAGTCGAATTCTGTGAATCTGTTGTGTTATTTTGAATAATGCTGTGACAAGATCTATAATATTAAATTTTTGATATACACCTTACTCTTTGCCGAAATGAACACGCCAAACGTAATACACCATTTTGCAAAGACATATATTTAACGAATATCAAATAAATATCTATATTGCTGACAAAAATACATACCGATGATAGTAATAATGTTTATGACAGCTATCAGTGTTCCAGAGAAATTCTGAAAAGAAAGCAAAAATAATTATGTGCATTTTCAGCAAGCAATAAGCCATTATAACAGATTTATAAAATCACTGTTGTTAATGATATCCTCACTTATCAAAAATTTTGTCACAAAATGAACTATTCAGTTATGTATAAACAGCCATCCTAACAGAACTAAGAATATGGTTTTGTCCTACCCAATCTTATATCTGATGCTCTGATCCATATAAGTGGAATGACTTACATTTCCAAATACAATAGCATTAGTGTATTTCATTGGAAGAATAGCAGCTAGTCCATACATACTATTTTGATAAATGCCAGCTGCCACTACAAATACAAAAATTAGATACATATATTCAGGATTAGGACAACTAAAAAAAAATATACTAGTTTTCGGACATGTCTATTGCACAAAAACACACCTCTTAATTTGAAACCAGGGTGGGTTTATCGACGTTGTGGAACTAAATAATTTTTCTGGAACACATGTTAACACAACTGCAGATGATAATATATCTATAGTTAATATTGTAGCAAGATATAAAACCATACTAATCTTGTTTCAATGGCATTTAGTAATTGAACTGGAGTATACAGGTCACAATTCTATGGAATACAATTACTGCTTATTTTACTGAGCGACGTTTCGACCAGGCTTCTCTAGTCATTATCAAGCAATGGAGATGTGGCAGTCAAACTCAATTTCATCATTGCTTGATAATGACTAGAGAAGCCTAGTTGAAACATTGCTCAGTAATAAGCAGTAATTGTATTCCATAGAATTGTGACCTGTATACATACTAATCTTATGCTGCCTGTCTACAATTATCTCCGTTTGAGAACAGACACTTAGCTAGTCAGCTGACATTTTAGTCATAAATCAATGATTTTAAGTATATTTTGAGAATTTAGAGAAGTATTCATTTTGCTTCCAATTGATACCAGCGGCTGCCAGGCAGGATATGCCCACATTTTGCAAGAGATTGATAGAGAACAAGCTAAAAACAAAAACGATTTTTTGTACAATCAGGGGCAATAATCCAGAAAGTTATGGACTGAAATGTGCAAATATCAGAAGGGACTGAGATCTTTGGGATATAAAGATATGTTTTAAGTTTCATCAGAATTGGACAAAAATAGTGACCTCTAGCGGTTCCACAATCTTCATATTGCATATTTTTACACAATTTGCGAACAAAGAGCCATTTTGTCAAACAGTTTCATTCGATTTTCCCGAAATTCGAATTCAACCTTCATTATGGTGGAATGGTGAAATATTTGAACGGTTTTTAAAATTTGAAAAAAAAATTGTGACTTCTAGAGAATCCGCAGGCTAACCAGCAGCTGCCAGGCAGGAAACGCCCACATTTTGCAAGAGATGGATAGAGAACAGTTTTGGTCCAATTTTTACGAAATTCGAACTCAACCATCTTTAGGGTGTATCAGTGATATATTCAAACGTTTTTTTAAATCACATAAAAATTATGACTGTTATACGGTCCACCAGCTAAAAACGCGATTTTTCGTACAATCAGGGGCCATAATTCAGGAAGTTATTATCCGATATGTGCGAATATCAAAAGGAACCGAGATCTTTGGGTTATAAACTTACATTTCAAGTTTTATCAAAATCAGAAGAAAATTGTGACCTCTAGAGAGACCACAACCTTGATATATCATATTTTTACGCTATCTGAGTACAAGGGGCGGCCATTTTGTCTGTCAGTTTAGGTCTTATTTTTACGAAATTCGAACTCAACCATCCATGGTAATTATCAAAATTACCTTTGCATATGCTATTACTCGGATTATGAACCACATGGCTGATTCTCACTAAAGACTGTTGTTGTAGACGACAAGCAAGTTGATTCACTTCTTAATTAACAAGTAATAATTAACTTGTTCTAATTTAGCGAAAAGTAGATTGATTTATGATACCACAGTGGCCAGTTCATTGTTTTACCAATCAGCTAGATTAATCATCAATCGGCTAAAGCTGACAGAACACAGCCTATTAAAAACAGTGACCCTAGGCATTATAAACTATTTTAAACAGAAAGATAACAAACATGTACTTACTATTGAGAACAATAACCGAAATCATTGTCACAATAAAGAATATTTCTTGCCCTGAAAAAATATAATGATATATTAATGTAATATGATTGTATATAAAGTGACATATTCAACCAGCGGCTGCCAGACAGGATACACTCACATTTTGCAAGAGATGGATAGAGAACAAGCTAAAAACAAACACGATTTTTTGTACAACCAGGGGCAATAATCCAGAAAGTTATGGATCTCTAGAGGGTTGACAACCTTCGTATTACACACTTCTATACAATTTGCGTACAAAGAGCGTCCATTTTGTCGGGAAGTTTCATTTCGATTTTCCCGAAATTTGAATTCAACATTTCATTATGGTGGAATGGTTATGTATTTAAACGTTTTTTTAAATTGGAAAAAAATTGTGACCTCTAGAAAATCCGCATTTCAAGTTTCATCAAAATCAGATGAAAATGGAAAGGAACCAAGATATTTGGGTTATAAACATGCATTTCAAGTTTCATCAAAATCAGATGAAAATTGTGACCTCTAGAGGGTCCACAACCCTGATGCACAATATTTTGACACTATTTGCGAGCGAGGGGAGGCTATTTTGAATGTCCGTTTCGGTCCGATTTTTACGAAATTCGAACTCAACCATCTTTAGGATATAACGGTGATATAAATGGTTTTTTAAATCGGATAAAAATTGTAACCTCTATAGGGTTCACAAGCTAAAAACGTGATTTTTCGTACAATCAGGGGCCATAATTCAGGAAGTTATGGTCCGATATGTGCAATATCGAAAGGAACTGAGATCTGTGGGTTATAAACATACATTTCAAGTTTAAACCAAATCGGATAAAAATTGTGACCTCTACAGACAGTGTTCACAAGCTAAAAACGTGAGTTTTCGTACAATCAGGGGCCATAATCCATGAAGTTACAGTCCGATACATGCCAATATCGAAAGGAACCGAGATCTTAGGTTCATAAACCTATATCTCAAGTTTCATTGAAATCGGATAAAACTGTGACCCGTAGAGCGTTCACAAACAACTGTGGACGGATGGACAGGGGCGATGACAATATACGTCCACATGAATATGTGGGCGTACAAAAATTGTAATTTCTAATCAATTATGTTTGGTGAAATATGCGAACCGTACAAACTGAATGACAATCGATTACGCCTAATTAACCCATTCTTCGCGGTTTTTTATTGTTATTTTATCATTTGTGAATCATCCATTACTATTTATTGCCGCATTGTAATTTAGGATATGTTTCTCTTTGTTCATTACCATATTTGAAAACGTTCATGGTTTCTTTATTATTGGATATTAGGATCCCACATTTTCATGGCAACATCACAACATTAATATGGACTGAAATGGACCATTATCGAATTCTAATTTGTGTTTCTAATTTCAAATATTATAGAAAATATTGAGTTAGAGAATTAGCTCCTTTAAAAACAATACTTACAGCCAGAAGTATCTATCATAGCCAGGACTGCAGTTGTAATGAAACATACAACCATTATCAGCAGACTTATAATAATTCGAACAGATGGTGATCTAAATAAAACAGTAAAACAAAATATACAAATTTGAAATATGTGTAAAGGTCATTGAAGTACACAGTCACGCCTGGTAACAGGCTTTAAAATTCAAAAATCAGTTTCCAAAGAGCTTCAAAATAAAAGCAGTTTGTGAAAATCGGATTGAAAATGGTTGCTGAATATCGATTTGAAGCCTTTTTGTAAAATCCAATATGGCGGCCAAATGGTTGAAAATGTTAATGAACAAGGTATCTGAAAGATATTATCTGGAACAAATATTTCCAAGGGTCATTTTTAGTCTATTTTTTAAAATGCAGAGAACTATTATGTTCAGGAAAAATTAGAAGGCATTCAGAAATTTCCAGAAGTCACCACAAAAATGTTCAATCTGCCATATTTAATGCATCGATGTGTACTTTATTCGTAAAAAGTTTCAACCTGATTCCTGAAACTGTGATGGAAATACACCATCTTGAATTTAGCAAAAACGACAAACAAAATCTTTGATTCTAAATCTAAGCGTGCAAATTTCCGGATTAAAAAAAATCATCAGTGAGAACCCATAAGGGATTTTTCAAAAGAAATAAAGATAGGTTGCCAGGCAACAAAACATACGCCCACAGCAGCTAAATCGTCCGAGCGGTCGTCAAGGGTTGTCGCATATTTATTCCTTTGTAGGTAATTGGGGGCCTTTACAAGACAGTTCCATACAGATCAGATTATAAATTTTGAGGTTTGAGGGTTTTTACAAGGTTCTACAAACTCGAAACAAGGGTCTCAACTCTGGAAGTAATCTATAGAAATTGTTGAAATTTGACAGGCTTTTTCGTTTTACTAATTTAAATAATGCATATAAATTTCATACAGATCACATGATGACTTTTGTCATTCAAACATTCACAATCGCCATAACTCTAGAAATTATTGACGGAAATTGCTGAAATTCAATAGACCTGTTTCACAAATTTAAATGATGCATATAAATTTCATACATATTGGATGATAACTATCATCAATCGAGCATTAACAAGGTTTAACAAAGTGAAACAAGAGCAATAACTCTAGAAGTAATTATTGTAAATTGCTGAAATCCAATAGGCTTTTTCGTTTCACTAATTTAAATTATACATATAAATTTCACAGAGATCGGGTGATAACCTTTTTGCGTTAGAGCGTTCACAAGGATCAATAAAGTGAAACAAGGGCCATAACTCTAGACGTAATAAACGGAAATTGCTGAAATTCAATAGGATTCTTCGTCTCACTAATTTAAATAATGCATATAATTTTCAGAAAGATCGAATGATAACTTTTGACGTTAGAGCGTTCACAATGATCAATAAAGTGAAACAAGGGCCATAACTCTAGATGTAATAAACGGAAATTGCTGAAATTCAACAGGCTTCTTCGTATCACCAATTTAAACAAGAGCATCGCTAACGCTGGAATATACGTCCACGTTCCAGCTTTGATTGAGAATGAAAAGGAGGCTAGGCGTTGGGTTTGTTTTGCCAAATTTACAGACAAAATATTAACAAAAAAGTGGGTATGACACTGCCCCAGGAGGTTGGGGCATGCACCAAAATAAATAGTTGCTGTCTTTACGGTATAAGGAATAAATATGCAAAATTCCAAGATGATCCATTCAGAATTGCAGCCTGTAGATGATAAATACAAAAATCGGGTGTGGCTCTGCCCCTGGGGGTTGAAAATGGAACAATATAAATAGGCACCACCCTGTTATTGAAATGACAACATCAATAGTTGCCATCCTTAGGGTATAAGGAATAAGTATACCAAGTTCCAAGATAATCCTTTCAGTAAGGGCATTCACCAAAATCAATAGTTGACACCCTTAGGCTATAAGGAATACATATGCCAAGTACCCAGTTAATCCATTCAGAATTGCGGCCTGTAAACGATAAACACAAAAATTGGGTGTGGCTCTGGCCCTGGGGGTCACCGGACATGCAGTTGTCATTCTTAGGGTATAAGGAATAGGTATGCAAAGTTTCAAAAGGATCTGTTAAGAATTGTGGCCTGTAGGCGAAACACAAGACACACAAACATTGGGCGGGGCTCTGTCTCAGGGGGTCGGGCATCCACCAAAAATAATAGAGGTCAGCCTTAGGGTATAAGGAATAAGTATAAAAAAGTTTTCAAGACGACTGATTAAGCATTGCAAGCTGTACTGACACACATAAAGAAAATGGGCGTGCCTCTGCCCCTGGGGGTTGGACATTCACCAAAAACTATAGGGATGTGGTTCTTGTCGGACATTTTACCGAAAATAAAGGGGCATAACTCTTATCGTTATTTAAGCAGAAGAATTCATACCACAATTAACTAGAAATGGGCGTGGCTCTGCCCCTGGGGGTCGGGCATGCACCAAAAACAATAGGGATCTTCCTTGGGGTATAAGGAATAAGTATACCAAGTTTGAAGAAAATCCAGTAAGAATTGCGCCCTGTAGGCGACACAAAGACACACGAAAAGAAAATGGGCGTGGCTCTGCCCCTGGGGGTTGGGCATGCACCCCAAACGATAGGGATGTTCCTTAGGGTACAAAGAATGTGTATGCAAAGTTTCAAGATTATTAGTTAAGAAATGTGGCCTGTAGACGACAAACAAACAAATACTAGAAATGGGCGTGGCTCTGCCCCGGGGGGTCGGGCATGCACCAAAAACAATAGGGATCTTCCTTGGGGTATAAGGAATAAGTATACCAAGTTTGAAGAAAATCCATGAAGAATTGCGCCCTGTAGGCGAACCACAGACACACACACACACACACACACACACATACACATACATACATACACACACACACACACACAGACAGGGGCGACGGCATAATACGTTCACATTATGAATGTGGACGTATAATAATGTATGTAAATTTCAGAAAGATCGGATGATAACTTTTGACGTTAGAGCGTTCACAAGGATCAATAAAGTGAAACAAGGGCCATAACTCTAGACATAATAAACGGGAATTGCTGAAATTCAATAGGCTTCTTCGTTTCAGCAATCTAAATAATGCATATAAATTTCAGAAAGATCGGGTGATAACTTTTTGCGTTTGAGTGTTCACAAGGATCAATAAAGTGAAACAAGGGCCATAACTCTAGACATAATAAACGGAAATTGCTGAAATTCAATAGGATTCTTCGTCTCACTAATTTAAATAATGCATATAATTTTCAGAAAGATTGAATAATAACTTTTGACGTTAGAGCGTTCACAAGGATCAATAAAGTGAAACAAGGGCCATAACTCTAGATGTAATAAACGGAAATTGCTGAAATTCAATAGGCTTCTTCGTATCACCAATTTAAATAATGCATGTAAATTTCAGAAAGATAGGATGATAACTTTTGACGTTAGAGCGTTCACAAGGTTCAATAAAGTGAAACAAGGGCCATAACTCTAGACGTAATAAACAGAAATTGTTAAAATTCAATAGGCTTCTTTGATTCACTAACTTAAATATTGCATATAAATTTCACAAAGATCGTATGTTAACTTTTGGCATTAGAGCGTTCACAAGGTTCAACAAAGTGAAACAAGGGCCATAACTCTAGACGTAATAAACAGAAATTATTGAAATTAAATAGGATTCTTCTTCGTCTCACTAATGTAAACAACATATATCAATTTTAAAACAATTGGATGATAACTTTTGGCGTTAGAGCGTTCACAAGAAATTGTGGACGATGGACGGACCGACAGACGGACGGACGGGGTGACGGCAATATACGTCCACATTTCAATGTGGGCGTATAAAAACCTGAAAACCCCGCAAAAGATCTGTTGAGAAATAAAGGAGATATGGATAATTTTTTGTCCTATCCCTAAAACTATTCTGGTTTGTCAATTTATATTTAGTAGGTAGATGCACACTAAGTTTATTATGTAAGATAGTCACAATGTATCCACAATTTACAATTTTGTCTATCTAGAGCAGTGATTCTCAACCAGTGTGCCACGAGATATTCCTAAGAGTGCTGCAAAAATTTTGAACGCCACACTAAGAAAATGTAAAAAACCATGTGATCCCAATTGAGTATTCACTGGTGTCTACTGGTAAGTTCATAGCTGTGTTTTTCTTTATTCAGTTTGAGTCATTCTATGTGTCTTTGACTTGAATGTGTTTACGGTTGTATGCCGTCTATGACTTGTCATGTTTTTGTTTTGCAAAATTCAAATATTTTTCATGTATTATTTAGCTAGGTGTGCCGCTATTACTTAATGTGTTCCAAGGTGTGCTGTTGGCAAAAAAGGTTGAGAACCACTGAACTAGAGTGACTAAAATTCAAACAAACAAAAATTCTGATTGAGAACAAAATGTGTTTCGACCGAAAACAGCGACCAGACACAGAACATATTTCCCGAGCAACTTAACAAATCACGAAAAGATTGTTATGTCTTAAAGCAAAATTACTTATGATATCAGTTATCAGAAATTGTTGTCATAAGCTAATGTAATAATCTAATAAATTTCAAGCAGATATATTATTATTAAAATTCTATTAACATCTAAGTACATATATTTCATTAAACTTAAGCAGATCACAAAAGTCTGTCTATCTCTTAAAGCAAGGAATGGACAAAACTACTGATGCTTTTGTCACAAAATTATCCAATGTGAGCAAGAGCAAAAAATTCTAAAATTAATTATAATATCAGTGATCAGAAATTGTTGTAATATGCTAATCTAATAATCTAATAAATTTCAAGCAGATCTATTAAAATTCTATTAACATCTGTGTCCCCTTAACCTGAACAATACATAATTGTGTGATAATATTTCCTGCAATTACAAAATGATAAAAAATTTAGGGAAATAACTCTGGAAGTAATTGTCATTTATACATTGGTGAAATTGTATACATTTAAAATAACCTGAGCCACTAAAACTTTTCCTGGTACTGACAGTTTTATACAATCGATTAATAACTTATGCTTCAAGGGTATTCAAAAGATTTTGCGAAATAACAAAAGAAATCCATGAGAAAGGACAGGTGTGGAAGAACAACAAAATACTGCCACATTTCAATGTGAATTGTGAGCATATACATAAAAAATCTTACCCTCCACCACATTGACAGCAAAAGTTAACTAAAGACATAAAGACATTTGGAAACTGAGAAGCAAGTCCAACGTAGTACAAAAAGTACTTGCTGTAATCTTGTACTGGACTTTCTGTAGAGTTCAATTTATAATTTTCAAAATACTGAAAAGACAAAAATTAAGAATGGTAAGCTCTTAGTAGGCTAATAATAACACATAATTCATAGGGCGCCAGACTTCACACAGCTGTTAAGTGTTGATATTACTTTTTCCATAAAACAAAGATAGATTGCCAGCTGATGAAACATACGCCCACAGCCCACTAAGGTTGACACATTTGTTCTTTTGCAGGTAATAAGGGCATTTAAGACATTCAAAACTGATAAAGAGTAACAGCCCATGAAATTATTATCAGAAATTTGGTTGGCTTCTAGTTCTTCCTACCCTAGTGCTAACATTTATAATTGATAATTTTAGCTGTTTGTTTTATAGGAAATCTTTGAAAATCAATATGAATCTTTGTCTATGAACATTGGGGTTGAATTTGAAGTCAATCAAATATAACGTTAGCCACTAAAGGGTCTGCATGACTTTCAACTTGGATGAAATTTTATTAATGATCAAGGGCAAAAACTCTGAAAGTATTTATCAGCATTTTCATCTCATGAACAAAAACATTTTGCATGGATTGAAGTCAATCAGATGATATGATCACAAGATTTTTCAAATTGATCAAGGGCTATCTATAACTCTGACATGAACTATCAGAAATGGTTTGAACTAAAAACCAGCGGTTGTCATCTACACGTAAAAATCGTTATCCTAAGGTTTGAAAAAGATTTGTCAAAAATTGTGGCTCACTAGAGAGTGGACAAACACAATTACTCAAATTAAATGGCCATAACTCAAGAACAAAAATAGCATCACCCCAATATTGTCGTCTACTGATAAATCATTATCCTAAGGTTTGAAAAAGATTGATGATTGGTCAAAAACTGTGGCCTCTAGGGAGCAAACAAGAAAATTTCCAGAACAAAAATAGCGATTATGTTCAAATTCAATCCAAATTGTCGCCTGCTGATAAGAATTGTTACATTAAGGTTATAAAAACATAACTCAAATTCAATCCCAATCATTGTCTCCTCAAAATAGCCATTATCCTAAAGTTTTAAAAAGATTCATAAAAAATTGTGGACTCTGGAGATCGGACAATCAAAACACAACACAAGGTATGTATGGATATAACTGCTTCTTTGTTTTTTAATAACATCGTTCAGTAACACATACAGGTCACATTATCAAGTTAATGAAAAATATATATCTAGTGAGCCTAATAATACATAAATAAGAAACAATTCAACGTGATAATAATAAGCAACCATAATAATAATAAGACCCTGCAAGCAGAGATGGGATTTCGTCCATATATTTCGGACATGTCCAACGCTATTTTCCAAATGTCGGACATCAAGATATGGTGAATAATATTCAAAATTCAAACATTAATATAGTGTACTGAGCATATATGTACCCAATTATCGTTGATAATAGGATGGACTGATTAGGTAATTAAGTGATCAACATATCTATTGTGTTTTACCGCCTATATACCTACCTTGATTACCAAGTTAATCTGCATTGATTGGCTGACTTAATCCTTTGTTGGAAAATTCATCAATCCAATCCAGAACAGAAGTCATTGCTTCTCCTATGTCGGACAATGTATCAATCCAATAAGAGTGATTATAAACTTAATCTACATGATTCACCCGTGATTTCTCTATTGTCAGATGTTTTAATCTCCTTGATGTCAACTGACAACACGTAGAAATTAGTCATATATGTCACATATCCTAATGTACATTGTATCCGTTAACTTGTCTGCGATATCACTTCGGTGGAAATGAAATGAAATGGGGTTTAACGTCCTACTGTTCTGCTCCTATACTGGGCTAATGAAGACGGGCATACGCCATACATTGTACTATGAGGGAAATTTTGCCTGGGCAGCGGCATTATCGCCTACTCTTATATCGAATTCCAACTGCCAGCGATCTTTCACCTGCATTCCAATATATACACGGGACGTCGGTTTTTTGTCTCATCCGAAGGACTAGACAGCTGTCCTTGTCAGGCCCTCCGTCCTGCATCACTGACAAGGGGGAACCAAGCCGGAAACTCTGGATGAACTTTCTCGGCCAATGCAGGGATCAAACACTGGACCTACAGGCTAGCGAGCCAGCGTCTTACCCACTTTGCCACGTGATCCCCTCACTTCGGTGGAAGCTGGCGTTAAATAACACTATTTCACACACACATATCCGAAAAATACTAGACCATGCAAGCCCTGTTTTTGATCGCATGCCATTATAGTATAATAACTGAAACAGAAGTAGAAATCTCGATAGACTTGTGAAATTATGAAATGCAGCGTGACAAATTCCACATGTCTAATGTCGGAGAAAAGATTCTATTTTGATGGCATATTCTCTGATTTATGATCATGTTTTGAATGGGATATATGTTTTTAAATAAATAAATAAATACGCTAAGAAATGTTGACGAGTATTTCGACTGGAATAGTGTAAGTAGTTAATTGTTTTGGGCGACAGTACGGTTTCATTCTATCGTATTACGACAGCATGTAATTTTGTAGAAACAGACTGACATAAATTTGGATACTGTACAGGAATTAAATATTTACAAGTCATAGTGAGGCTGATGTCCCCTGCCGAAATCCCAAAATAAACAGATGACACATATTAATTAATTGCACATTTATCTTTTTCAAAAGTATCGAGTAATCAAACAGATTATCTATACTTTGTCTAAGCATAAAATGTTCACTATCAAATACAGGTTTTGAAGTACCTGGTAGTGAAACTATCCATCAATTAGAATCAAAGTTATCTGGTCCCAAAGCATCAACCAATGAAATTGCTGAGCTCTGCTTAGCTTTAAAAAGAAATTTTAATCATTTAACTCTGTCAAGACATTCGCCTAATGAACATCTATACCTCAATTAAAAGCAGAGTTGTTCTGTTCCAAAGCCTTGACCAATCAAATTGCTTATCGCTACTTAGCCTAAGCAGAAAATTCCTATCATCGAACTTAGTCAATACTCAATGTAATTATATAATGAATCTTTACCCGAGAGTTTCATCACTCTAACCCAATTAGAACTAAAGTTATCTTGTTCCAAAGTCTCAACCAATTAAACTGCTTATCTCTGTTTAGCCTTAGTGTAAAATGCGCATGAACGAACTGTGTCAAGGCATCATGTAATAGACACCTACACCAATTTTGAACAGGAGAGTTATTGTGATCCAATCAGATTGAAGTCTCTACTTTGCCTAACCAGAAAATGGTCAGCATCAAACCTTGTTAAGGTATTGACGTAATAAAACTATACACTGACAAAGTTTCACCATTATCACACAATTGGAATCAAAGTTGTCGAGCTCCAAAGTCTCGACCAATCAAATTGCTTATCACTTTGCTTACCAGGAGCCGAAAATGCTCTCATAATCAAACTCAGTCATGTTATTGATGTGAAGAAACTATACACCAAGTTTCATCACTCTCACTTAATTTGAACAAAAGTTAGCATGTCCCAAAGCACCAACCAATCAAGTTACTTATCTCTGCTTACCCTAAGCAGAAAATGCTCATCTTCGAACTCCATCAAGGCATTCACATAATCAACGCCTACACCAAGTTCGAACATTCTACCTCAATTTGAAGGGGAGTTATTGTATTGTGTTCCAAAGTCTTGACCAATCAAATTGCTTATTGCTCTACCTGCCCTGAGCAGAAAATGCTCATTATCGAACTTAGTCAAGGTATTGATGTAATGAAACCATACAACAAATTTCATCACTCTCGCTTAATTAGAACTAAAGTTATCGTGTCCCAGAGCATCACCCAATCAAGTTGAATATCTCTGTTTACCCTAAGGAGAAAATGCTTATCTTTGAATTCCATCAAGGCATTCAGCTAATAAACACCTACACCTAGTTTGACCATTCTAGCTCAATTAGAAGGAAAGTTATTGTGTCCGAAAAAGTGTGACGGACAGACAAACAGACGGACAGAAACCATTTTAATAGTCCTTTTCAACCGTAACAGTGAGAAAAACCAGTATCTAAATTGTAGATAAGGCATTTTTACCCAGGTTTAAAAGTATTTAGAACAAAATGAACATTGACTTTTACTAAAATGCCATTGCAATTGAAACCATGTTTGTGTATGAAAATAAATCATTCCATTCAAAAATTATATAAACAATAGAAATTTCAAATTTTGGGGTAACCAGAAAAATGGTTGCGGGTTTATGCTCTGCGTAACAATTTTCTTTGGTTACGCCAGATGACCATAGCATAACCAATTGGTTACATAAAATGGTTGTGCTATTTTCATGTTTTATCCAGATTTGAATGGTGCTAATATTCATTTCCACTTGCAGTGAATGTATTTTTTAAAGAAATAGCTTGACTAATTTATATTCTTCTATATTTAATATCATATTTTGAGGTTAAGTGTTTATGACTTTAATCCCACAGTGTCCCCATTTAAACATTAGAAAAATTTGTTCCACTTCATTAAATCCCTATATTTTAATAATTCTTTTATCAATTGGCTTTTTCAAACAGCAAGCGGCTGAAGCTGACTATAATCAGCCGATTAAGATCCCTGATGTACGTAAATGGCTACTCATTTAACTGGTCACGGCTGAAGCCGACTATAATCAGCCAATTAAGATCCCTGATGTATGTAAATGGCTACTCAGTTAACTGGTCACGGTTCGGTTGCAGAGGTGAATCGGTTCCAAAAATTACTAATGGATTTTCGTTTTTATATCATATCTGACCTTCAAAAACTAGAAATGGTAGCTACCATATTATTTTCGGTCACTGAAGACTACATACATACTTCATATTACTACATACATACTTGTCATTTGTAATCATTCTTCCAAGCACCTTGACGTAGCATGAGATAGCACCCCTCATAGGTAGCGACTTATTTACAAACAGTATTTATTAACCTTGGCACTCTATAAACAAAGTCACAAAAGGAAACAGAATAGTAGAATGTGATGAAATAATATTAAGAAAGGTTGCCAGGCAACAAAACATACGCCCACAGCAGCTAAATCGTCCGAGCAGTCAACAAGGGTTGTCACATATTTATTCTTTTGTAGGCAATTTTCGTTGTTTGAAGGTTCACAAGGTTCTAAAAACTAAAACAAGGACCGTAACTCTGGAAGCAATCTAAGAAATTGTTCAAATTCGATTTTTCATTTTACGAATTCAAATAATGCATATAAATTTCATACAGATCGGATGATAACTTTTGTTGTTCGAAAGTTCACAAAGTTCAACAAAGTAAATCAAGGGCCATAACTCTAGATGTAATTGACGGAAATTGCTGACATTCAATAGGCTTGTTCGTCTTCATTTCATTAAGTTAGGTGATAACTGAAACTCAATAGGCTTGTTCGTTTTACTAATTTAAATGATACATATAAATTTCATACAGATCGGATAATAACTTTTGTCATTAGAGCATTTACAAGGTACAACAAAGTGAAACAAGGGCCATAACTCATGGCGAATTAACGGAAATTGCTGAAATTCAACAGGCTTCTTATTTCACTAATTTAAATGATGCATATCAATTTCAAACAGATAGGATGATAACTGTTGTCATTAGAGCGTTCACAACATTCAACAAAGTGAAACAAGGGCCATAACTCTAGATGTAATTAACGGAAATTGCTGAAATTCAATAGGCTTAGCTTTGTTTTACTAATTTAAATGATGCATATAAATTTCATACAGATCGGTTGATAACTTTTGTCGTTAGAGCGTTCACAAGGTGCAAAAAAGTGAAACAAGGGCCATAACTCCAGAAGAAATTAACATAAATTGCTGAAATTCAATAGGCGTCTTCATTTCACTAATTTAAATGATCCATATCAATTTCATACAGATCAGTTGATAACTTTTGTCATTAGAGCGTTCACATGATTCAACAAAGTGAAACAAGGGCCATAACTCTAGATGTAATTAACGGAAATTGCTAAAATTCAGTAGGCTTCTTTGTTTTACTTATTTAAATAATGCATATAAATTTCATACAGATCGGTTGATAACTTTTGTTGTTAGAGCGTTCACAAGGTGCAACAAAGTGAAACAAGGGCCATAACTCCAGAAGAAATTAACGGAAGTTATTGAAATTAAATAGTCTTCTTCATCTCACTAATGCAATAGGATTCTTCGTCTCACTAATTTAAATAATGCATATAATTTTCAGAAAGATCGAATGATAACTTTTGACGTTAGAGCGTTCACAATGATCAATAAAGTGAAACAAGGGCCATAACTCTAGATGTAATAAACGGAAATTGCTGAAATTCAACAGGCTTCTTCGTATCACCAATTTAAATAATGTATGTAAATTTCAGAAAGATCGGATGATAACTTTTGACGTTAGAGCGTTCACAAGGATCAATAAAGTGAAACAAGGGCCATAACTCTAGACATAATAAACGGGAATTGCTGAAATTCAATAGGCTTCTTCGTTTCAGCAATCTAAATAATGCATATAAATTTCAGAAAGATCGGGTGATAACTTTTTGCGTTTGAGTGTTCACAAGGATCAATAAAGTGAAACAAGGGCCATAACTCTAGACATAATAAACGGAAATTGCTGAAATTCAATAGGATTCTTCGTCTCACTAATTTAAATAATGCATATAATTTTCAGAAAGATTGAATAATAACTTTTGACGTTAGAGCGTTCACAAGGATCAATAAAGTGAAACAAGGGCCATAACTCTAGATGTAATAAACGGAAATTGCTGAAATTCAATAGGCTTCTTCGTATCACCAATTTAAATAATGCATGTAAATTTCAGAAAGATAGGATGATAACTTTTGACGTTAGAGCGTTCACAAGGTTCAATAAAGTGAAACAAGGGCCATAACTCTAGACGTAATAAACAGAAATTGTTAAAATTCAATAGGCTTCTTTGATTCACTAACTTAAATATTGCATATAAATTTCACAAAGATCGTATGTTAACTTTTGGCATTAGAGCGTTCACAAGGTTCAACAAAGTGAAACAAGGGCCATAACTCTAGACGTAATAAACAGAAATTATTGAAATTAAATAGGATTCTTCTTCGTCTCACTAATGTAAACAACATATATCAATTTCAAAACAATCGGTTGATAAATGTAGTCTGTAGAGTGTTCACAAGAAATTGTGGACGATGGACGGACGGACGGGGGCGACGGCAATATACAACCACATTTTCATGTGGGCGTATAAAAATAGACAGAACAGTAAAATCGTTTACATTAGCACTCAAGCGATGCCATGTGCCCGTGGGGGTGAAAGTTGACAACATACATACGGGTCATTGGTACTACCGTACAGCATGGCTACAGTGAAATCAACACGTGTAGTAAATTCTTTGGAAATATAGCTGATATGTTAAATGTCAAACTCATTTCTCATTTTGTGTCTGAAAATCCAAAGGTACGCTTTCAAATATTTATGGCATACTTAATCATATAAAGAATAAGGGGTGGGGGGCTTTTTTAAATCAACCTACTTGCAACTGGTCAATACGTGATTTTGAATGGAGTTTGCGTATAAAAATTGATCAAATATGAATAATTTTGTTAATGATATTTCAAATTGCGTAACCAGGAAATCGGTCGCACGTTTTTAAGCTGGCGCGACCTTATGTAACCGATTGGTATCGTTTGCGTGAAATTTCATGGCCTGGAAACAAATTTTTGTAGGACTGCAGATTCAGATTGTTTTAACACTCTTTTAGTCATTAACCGAAAAAGCAGCATGTTATAAAATAGACCAAAAGGCAGGAAATATAAATATTTACCATGCTTGCATGATTAATTAATCATCTGTTAATTTATCACTTTTATCAATTTCTTGTTGAACATTAAGCTTTAATAGCAGTTTGCAGCCCATGTTCCTGAAGCAACGACTGCTAGTTTTACAACATCTGGACATTGCTAGATTACTTCACAATTCCTGAACTTATAGCTACGTTATCTACGTGAAAAGTAGCATCCAATTAGAGGTTGCGACATTGTGACCTCCACGGAAACCTTGACATTAAACAAAGCTTGAACTTTGCACCTCGATTATAACAGGTAGACATTTTAATTTTAGTTTGAAAGCGCGAGACTTGGTATTCACGACGACCGAGGAATCTGATAGGTTCACAATCACAAGCTGGGCTTGTACCCAATCGAAATTAGTGCCGAAATATGCAGGGTATTACATGAAGGCCTTGATAAATGTACGTAGTTAAAGCGAGATCAAGCCTTCTATTGAAGATGTTTGTAACCATGCTTGAGCATATATATCTCTATAGTGCAAGTCATTTAAACTAATTAACCACAAACAGCAAGAAGAAACTGTACCTTAGAACACACAATGCTCTAATTAAATTAAGCTACTTTCAAGAGGTTTAAAATATATATTAAGAACATCTTTCAATTTGTGGTAAACCATGTTTTGTGGTCATGAGTACCTTAATTATAAACGCAATAAATATTTGATATTTAACAGTTTATGTTTGCTACTTTAACCATTTCCTTCGGTTCTATGTACAATTACTTACTTCTTTGGCATTTATAAACATATTCCATGGCATGAGAATTCCAATACCATGAAAAGCCATTATAAAGTAAACTAGTCTAAACCTGAAATATATAAAAGGACAAATTCAATAGAGAAATTTATTTGGTGCTTAATAATACCCATTTTTATACACCTACATTTTAGTTAATGTTTCAGAACAACTTGGTGAACACTCTTGCCTTTATATTGCTGACAAGCATTACAAGCGCGAGGAGGGCAAAAAAGGAGCTTACACGTAACACTACAAATAGAGACCCTTGGCTTGCCTGAAAGTTTCTGAAAAATCAAATATAAACTATAGCATCTATTATTGTGCTGACAAGATGTGTGGACAGACCGACTGAAAGGTGGATTACAACATACATACACATTGACATGTGGACATATAAAATTGTGTTTTACTGCAATAAATAGCCTATTTTGACTAAAATTGCTTGGAATATGGGGCATGGCATAACTGGTGATCATGATTTGATCAACAACTTATTAATTACCACTAATATGATCTGATGACAAATTTCTAGCAAAAGTTAAATTCAAAGTAACAAAGCACACATCAACTTACCTATCTATGGGAGGATTCTTTTCTAATTCTTCAGCTTTTAGTTTATTTCTATATTCAAATTCTTGCACGGTTTCTAACCCTGGATCTAATTTAACAGGTGGTAGAAACTGTTGTCTTTCTTCTAATGTAGATCTATCAGCTAAAAGTTTAATAATTCGCATAAACAATTCAATATAAATATAAAGGTTTATCTTGCTACTTGATTAGAAATCATGTTTTCGCCAGAAAATCTCTGTTATACCAACAAACCATGGCAAATCATGTCTATCCTTTTCAATATTTCAACAACTCATTACACTAACACAATTAATAATTATATGGCAATGAACGTCAAAATTGCCTTAAAATTGGGAAGGGGTGGGAAGAGGACAAGAGAGTAGTTGAGTAGTCAAACGCACAAATTTTCGATAAAAGGATTTGTCACTTAGTGAAGTGTTATGGGGTGGCTTGTACATAACAAGAAACAGTATCGCTTGTCTAACATCGTGGGTTTTCTTCGGCCATAAAGTTTCCCCCTACAGCTAATAAAGACCCCTACTACTGACAATGATAACCAAATTATTTGAGAAAAAAAACCACAAACCATGTTAGCCCAAAATGACCCGATACAATTTGATGATTGAACTTAAACTTGGCCATAATGCAAGTTACAGCGCTCACACTGTCGATCGCCATTGCCGCCAATTGCGATAAAAATTAGGCACGTTAGGCACATTTTAATCCTCTACTGAATCAAATATTACCTGTGTTATGAGACTGTAATGGTGAAGACCGCCATGGACTGTCATATAAACTGTTAAGCATACGAGTTGTATCCTCGTCATTCCTATTAAATGTGTTCATTTCTGTCATGTTATTTCTATGTGTCATAATTGGTGCTTTCGTGAAAATGGAGTTTAACTGAGATCACTGGAGACAATTTAGCTGGAGACAATTGCAAGTTATCAAGATAAATTTATTGTACCATTTTTAATTTGAGAAGAAGAAACCTGAAATAAAAATATATATTATTTTAATAACTGGCAAAATCAGTGCAATTTCAGACTAATCTGTTTTCAAAATGTTCATAATAAGAACAGCCAAACCTATGCCCTGTTTGACACAGTGTTATAGACGTAATGGCAATGGACAAATTCTTGCAAATTTTGCCAAACATTATTTATTTTTGTTATATTATAAGCTTACAGTTACCATAATCTGAGACTTCACATACCAGTATGAATATGATATTCTTTACCTTTGGTTTACTACTTATATAAGAGTTGATACATGTAGTAGTTTAGTCTAATATGTTTGATAACATTAACATTGATTAAGCGAAATCTATCTGGAATCTTTCCAGTACATTTATGTCTTATCTTACTAGTAGTATAGCTGAGTAACATGATACAGATACGATTAAAATATTAAATTTTATTGTAACTGACAAGTATTCAATCTAAATTGTATCACATTACAGCCCATACAGACATTATTTAAAATTTTCTACAAGCCAATTCATCAAACAGAAGTCTATTAGTATTAGGGTTAGAAAATCTATATCTAATTCAACCAGTAACAAGTACTCATCGACTTATTACAAATACAGTTACAAGAAGTCCAAGGTTTTAATTGCACACTGGATAAGATTACATTGAAGGGCTACAACTGTATGTTCATTGAGAAGAAAAAGCCAACAGTGAGGCTGATGTCCCCCGCCAAAATCCAAAAATAAATAGATGACACATATTAATTAATCGCACATTTATTTTTTTCAAAAGTATAGAGCAATCAAACTGATTATCAACTATACACCAAGTTTCATTGCTCTCTATAAGATAGAATCAAAGCTATCATGTCCCGAAGCTCTGACCAATGAAATTGCTTTGCTCTGCTTAGCTTTAGCACGAAATGTTAATCATTAAACTCAGTGAAGACATTCACCTAATGGATATCTACATCAAGTTTAAACATTCTACCTCAATTAAAAGCAGAGTTGTTATGTTCCAAAGCCTTGACCAATCAAATTGCTTATTGCTCCTTAGCCTCTCACTTCATTATAACCCAAGTTATCTTGCCCCAAAGCATCAATCAATCAGATTGCTTAAATCTCTGCTTACCCAAAACAGACAATGTTCATCATCGAACTCCATGAAGGCATTCATCGAATAAATGCCTACACCAAGTTTGAACATTCAACCTCAATTAGAAGGAAAAGTATTGTGTTCCAAAGTCTCGACCAATCAAATTGCTTATCGCTCTGCTTACCCTCAGCAGAAAATGTTCATTATCGAACTTAGTCAAGGTACTAATGTAATAAACTATACACAAGTGTCCTCACTCTCACATAATTAGAACTAAAGTTATCATGTCCAAAGGCATCAACCAATCAAATTGCTTATCTCTGCTTACCCTAAGCAGAAAATTCTCATCTTTGAACTCCCATCAAGGAATTCACCTAATAAACACCTACGCCAAGTGTGAACATTCTAGCTCAATTAGGAGAGTTATTGTGTTCTGAAGTCTTGGTCAATCAAATTGCTTATCGCTCTGCTTACCCTGAGCAGAAAATGCTCATTATCGAACTTAGTCAAGGTATTGATGTAATGAAACTATACACCAAGTTTCCTCACTTGCACTTAATTAGAATTAAAGTTATTGTGTCCCAAAGCATCAACCAATCAAATTGCTTATCTCTGCTTACCCTAAGCAGAAAATGCTCATCTTCGAACTCCATCAAGGCATTGACCTAATAAACACCTACACCAAGTTTGAACATTCTAGCTTAATTAGAAAGAGAGTTATTGTGTCCTAAAAAGTGTGACGGACAGACAGACGAACCCATTTTAATAGTCCCCTGCTTTCTTCGAAAGGCGGGGGACAAAAGATGACTATGGTACATATTAAAATCATTTACCAGGTAATCATATCAATTTTCTTTAAAGAAGCTAAATCGCTAATATTTGGAACCTAGAAATTGACAAAAATAGGTTGAAACATATCTAATAATGTAATATGAATGTATATAAATTGATTTACATTCAATCGTTTCTGTAATTGCTAATCAGTTATGTTCGGCGAAATACACCAAAAGTCTCAGTCAAATAGAAATGTCCAGTGTTTAGTTATTTAAGTCTACACTGATAGTATTTATTATGCATCAACCAACAACTGGTCTTTTTTACCACATATGCTTCTAATCCTTTCCATTGTATACCACACAGCAACATATGGGATCTTAAAAAAACTTTTATTTTATTGCTTCAAGGTCCCCCATGCAATGCAGAAATTTGAAAACTACGGCAGATAATTAATCATTCTATACCATAAAGTGGATATCTCTATCAACATATATGTAAATCGACTATAAAAATGAATTAGCCTAAATAGCTGTGACAAACAAATGCACTGTTTAGTTTTCCTTCAATATCTAACTTATCTGGAGCAAACTGTAATGTAGTAAAAGACAACATTTCATCAAACTATTACACCACCATGTGTTTAATGATTTGTCCTAGAGAGGGCCTCATCATTCATCATCCCACAAAATTATACAGCCTACTGGTAAAACTAGTGCTCTAACTCGTGTGTATCAGATCATAGGGTTTGTCATTGACTTGGGTCAAGTGGCGTGGCTTCAATCCTGAGCTTGCACTCGCCCAGGAGTAGGGTCTCATAAATTAATTAAAAATATACCATAAGTTAGTCCGAGACTTTCAAAATAACCTAGTTTAATGTGATGAGTACATGTAGATGTTAAACCTCATCTCTTCCTCTCTGCATGATAAATATGCAGTTAACTGCATATTTATCATGAGGAATGCTTTACTGGCTTATACGTGCATATATCCCTTGGCAATTAAATACTATTGACTACCTGTTTATACCAACATACAAAATGCAATGAGATTGACAATTTTGACTCTGAACCCAAATCAGTGGTCTAATCACTTTAAACTTTACAGAAAGATGAACACTGGGAACTGGGAGTAAAATACAAACTATTATTAACTCAGTTACTTAAAACTATAAGTATAACTAAAATGAGTTTATACAATCTATTGTAAATTATACTAATACAATTGGTACAACTTTAGCACACATGTGTCAACCATCTGTTTGAGTATTTTCAATACTAGTAGTTTGCAATTCATCAAAACAAAAAAGAAAAAAAAACAGGTTTATCTATTTCACAGTACTTCTAGTGACCTAGTCAAAATAAACTTAATCTATACACCCACTTCAAACAAGTACATGTAGTAAATTCAGGTTTTTGACAGATTTTTATAGATAGTGTAGCCCATGCATGCATGCCTATAAATAAGCTTATAAATAAATAATGTACATAATAATACAAATGTATGGTTGATAGAGATGGGTGATGTATTCTTTTATAAATATAACATCTTACACACTTTGGGATGTCATTTTCTCTGATCTCCCATGCATTTTATGAAACGTATCAACCTGTGTGACGTCATCAGAAGGTGATATCTGATATGGACGGACGATATCAGATATCACCCTCTGATGATATTAGAACAGGTTTACGGACTCTGCAATGGGGCTGAAACGATTCATCGGTGAATCGGTGTACCGAGATTTTTTTAACTGTCACGATAAACGATATTTTTATAGTGAAAACCGGTATATCTAGATTTATTTTTTTTCTTACGATTACCGATATAATTTAGTATAAAGCATGATACATTAGTTTAAAAATAAAGTGACTTGCATAACAGTGTGGTTTCTTTCAATTAAAACTTGTTTTAAATCGCTGATGGAAGCTAGTTTTCGTGGTTTACAAACACAGCGGACTATAAAGTCGCCTGCTTTGCACTCGGCAAACCTCGACAGATGTAGGTTACCGGAATCTGCCGAAGTTTGCCGAGTGGCCCGCTTTGGTCTAGGAGTTTACAGACCGGTACATGTCCTAATAATCGCGTACTACGTTTATTGTAAGAACGCGTTTTATTGGTTAGATAGTTAAATCTAACAATTCATCCAATCAGATTTAATATAACATAAATATTCGTCTGCTAAGAAACCCGCGCATGGTATCGTGCTCACTGTTGAGAGATTGAAAACAGAGAAGTCAAGATTGAATACCGACAAATTTAGAATTTTAATTTTGTTTTTACATGAGGGTACAGCTAATAAACACCATTCTATTACTATTACTACTACTATTAGTCTTAGTAAGTCCTATGTCAGGTTCAAGTACTGCCACATTGGGTGATTTGGAAATCGAAAAGCCTCCAGCCCAGTATAAATCGAAAGTGTGGGAATATTTTGGTTTTCCCGTCACATACAGAAATGGAAATAGGAAGGTTAACAGAGATGTTTCAGTTTGTCGGTCCTGCCATGCTCAGATACGTTACACAGGAAATACTACAAATATGAGCACCCACATATCTCGACACCATGCCTTGTACTTAAATCTACCAAATCAACACACCAGACCCAGTACTACTACTACTCCTAGTAGTACCAGCTCAGCAGACTCGAACCCAACAAACAGCAACACTTCTTCACCGGTAAAAAACACATCAAATTTGACATTTGTATCACTTGTTGAAACCAATGAAGGTACTGGACAAAAGAACCGGACTCAAGTTGAAGGTGTAGGACAACTTCGCATGCAAACATTTTTACAGAATACTACTCCACTGCCACCAGGTTCTGCAAGGTCACATGCTATTACTAGAAGCATTGGTTTGTTTATGGCGCATGACATGCGACCCTATTCTGAGGTCGAGAATGTCGGATTTCGACGAATGGTACGCACTTTAGAACCCGGTATAACATACCTTCGAGAACGTATTTTGCAACTAATGTTGTTCCCAAGCTTTACAGTGAAGCGAAAGACAAACTGGAGGAAAAACTTAAAGAAGCCAAAAGTGTGAGTCTTACTACAGATGGGTGGACTTCTAGGAGCGCCAACAGTTTTATTACTGTAACAGTTCATTTTATTGACTCTCGATGGGAAATTCAAAATCATGTTTTACAG